TAACTCAATATACACACCCTAGAACTATAGAAATAATAAAGGTGCAGCGCTAGGAGTAAGAGTAATAACATGCAAATATCAATAAGAAATAAGAACAGAAATTAAGATATATACAATGTGCAAATTAGTTATTATTATTATTATTATTACTACGAGTTTATATAGCGCCAAAGGGTTTGCTCAGCGCTGTACAAATAGGGGGGGTTTCAATACATGGCACAGTACAACAAAGACAGACAGCGTACGAGGGGTAAGAGGGCCCTACTCTTACGAGCTTACAATCTAGGAGGGAGGGGGTAAAGGTACAGTAGGAAGTGGCTGGGGGGGATGAAGTGGTAGGAGGAATGAGGGAGGATGGCCGTTAGGTGAGGGTGGGGTAGGCTTCCCTGAAGAGATGGGTTTTGAGGGAGCGCCTGAATGTGAATAGAGAAGGCGACAGTCTGATGGATTGGGGCAGTGAGTTCCAGAGGATGGGGGAGGACCTGGAGAAGTCCTGCAGTCGTGCATGGGAGGAGGAGACCAGGGAGCAGTTATCAAGAGCATAACTTGTTTGACATACTTGTTGGTAGGTGTCACCTTGGGTAGGATTGGGCCTGGTTGCCTGATTTCTTTAAGATGTTCCATAGATTTGTTTTACTGGAATTTTCTGTCTCCTTCCACGCAATACAGAGTCTGCCACACACCACAATGTACACAATGGAGTGATCTTTGTACATTGTGCAATAGAGGCCTGTGGTGTAATTCAGCCATCGACGTCCTTGCAGCTGCTACCTGCCCTAGTACCTATTAAACAATTGGACCTTAATCCTCGCTAATCTGAATGTTTAAATTGTATGTAAACCCCAATCCAGAAATGTGATGCATGATGTGCCATAGCCTACACATTCAGCCTGCAGTTTAAAACAGTGGAGAGCAGCCTAGGGCAGCCTTTCTCGACATTTGTACCATGAAATAACTATAGGCTTGGGCAGGGGCGGACTGACAACTCATGGGGCCCCCGGGGCAATAGGGGATCATGGGGCCCCTGTGCCCTTGTCCAAACTCAAAAAAGCCTATGAAAAAGGTACCAGGAGCATCTCATGGGGCCCCTTACTGACCCCGGGCCCTCGGGCAGTGCCCGAGTTTCCAAATGGTCAGTCCGCCCCTGGGCTTGGGGACCCCCTGCTAATATTTATTATATTTGCAGCTCACTGTATTTGAATGTGATGCTCATTGGAAAGAACGCTCCTTACATTTGTGGTCATTGGAAATGACCACAAATACAAAAAGCTAAAATAACAATTGGTGTCTGTGGGAACTTATCGGAGAGGCAGAAATCGATCTTTGTTCTAGGAACCCCTAGCAATCTGTGGAGGAACGCTGGTTGTGGGCTGACCTAGAGTGAAAACATTGCTCCTCTAGAGTTACAGCGCAGTGAGTATGTTACTGGCAAGTGAAAATGAAGAAAAAAAGGCTGAAAAAAAGAAAACTAATGCAGCTACCACCATCTAAGAACTAGTAAGCTGTAACACATAACATTTTTTGGTTTTGGGTTTAGATACAGTTTAAAGTGGTCCTAAAGGCTGAAGGTTTTTTTACCTTCATGCATGAAGGTAAAAAACCTTCTGTTTGCTGCTGCCCCACACAGCCCCCTTAATACTTCCCTGAGCCCCATCTCGATCCAGCGATGTGCACAGGAGCCTTGGGTCTCCCTCTCCTTATTGGCTGAGACACAGCAACGAGAGTCATTGGCTCCAACTGCTGTCAATCACAGCCAGTGAGGACAGAGTGTGGGATGGGCCCAGGCTCTATGTCTTAAGGACACGTAGAGCAGGGCTCAGGAGCAAACACACACCAGTGCCCCATTAGCAAGCGGCTTGCTATTGGGGGTATTGGTCAAGGGGGAGGAGCAAGGAGAGACGGCAGGGGACCCAAGAAGAAGAGGATCAGGGCTGCTCTGTGCAACACCACTGCAAGTTTTTATTGCTGGGTGTCCCCACTGGGAAGATTCACCCTCTGTATTTGTTCATTGTCATTGGGACAGAAAGCAATGGGAAATCTAAGATTTTTTAAAATAATTATCTAAATAGTAATAAAAGGGAAAACCTTTCAATGTGGACACATATTCTAGTGACAAGTAGGGAATTGACCTTACATGAAGGGAAATCAGTCCAAACAAAAGAATTGCAGGGGTTCTGACTATCCTTTTGAAAACAAGTGTTGGTTTTAGATACACTCAAGTTTTTTGTTTTGTTTGAATTTTTAGTATGTGAAGAATAAATTGCTACTAAATGAACTTCAGTCAAAACTGATGTTTTTCACATGCCAGGAAATAAATGCAAAGAGCATGTGGGAAATTGATACAAAGGATTAAAAGCATTGTGAATAGAGTTTTTTTTTAAATTACAGTTTTTGATACACAATGCTTTAGCAAAGTACAGGACAAATAATAATCAAGAGTTACACTATATTGCCAAAAGTATTGGTCGGCCTGCCTTTACACGCACATGAACTTTAGAGGCATCCCAGTCTTAGTCTGTAGGGTTCAATATTGAGTTGGCCCCGCCCTTTGCAGCTTCAACTCTTCTGGGAAGGCCGTCCACAAGGTTTAGGAGGGTGTCTATGGGAAGGTTTGACCATTCTTCCAGAATAGCATTTGTGAGGTCAGGCACTGATATCGGGCGAGAAGGCCTGGCTCGCAGTCTCCGCTCGAATTCATCCCAAAGGTATTCTATCGGGTTGAGGTCAGGACTCTGTGCAGGCCAGTCAATTTTCCTCCACCCCAAACTCACTCATCCATGTCTTCATGGACCTTGCTTTGTGTACTGGTGCGCAGTCATATTGGAACAAGAAGGGGCCATCCCCAAACTGTTCCCACAAAGTTGGGAGCATGAAATTGTCCTAAATGTCTTGGTATGCTGACGCCTTAAAAGTTCCCTTCACTGGAACTAAGGGGCCAAGCCCAACCCCTGAAAAACAACCCCACACCATAATCCCCCCTCCACCAAACTTTACACTTGGCACAATGCAGTCAGGCAAGTACAGTTCTCCTGGCAAATGCCAAACCCAGACACCTCCAGCAGATTGCCAGATAGAGAAGCGAGATTCGTCACTCCAGAGAACACGTCTCCACTGCTCTAGAGTCCAGTGGAGGCGTGCTTTACACCACTGCATCTGAAGCTTTGCATTGCACTTGGTGAATGTAAGGCTTGGATGCAGCTGATCGGCCATGGAAACCCATTCCATGAAGCTCTCTACGCACTGTTGTTGTGCTAATGTGAAGGCCACACCAAGTTTGGAGGTCTTTAGCTATTGACTGCAGAGAGTTGGCTACATCTACGCACTGCGCTGACCCCGCTCTGTCATTTTACATGGCCTACCACTTGGTGGCTGAGTTGCTGTTGTTCCCAGTTGCTTTCACTTTGTTATAGTACCACTAACAGTTAACTGTGGAATATTTAGTAGCCAGGAAATGTCACAGATGGACTTATTGCACAGGTGGCAACCTATCAGGGACCACGCTTAAATTCACTGAGCTCCTGAGATCGACCCATTCTTTCACAAATGTTTGTAGAAGCAGTCTGCATGCCTAGGTGCTTGATTGTATACACCTGTGGCCATGGAGGTGATTGAAACACCTGAATCCAATGATTTGGAGGGGTGTCCCAATACTTTTGGAGAGTTTGCTATGCATCATTTTATTGCCCATTCATAAAACGTAGGCCATGGTGTTGAGCCTGCAGTGTGACATGGAGTTCCCTCTGATAAGCACAGTGATTGGAGGACTTCACTTTGACAGATCTCATGGCTGGGTTCCCCCGCCTAGCTTTTCCGATATGTATTCCATTTTTCAGACAAATGCATCTGTTTAGTAAGTGGTCCATATCTTATTGGTTAGATAAGGACGTGGAAATTCTATCACAATCTAGTTCATAACACTTGCTACAAATGTACGCAAATGAAACATTCATAGATTAGTTGTAGAGATCTGCAAAACAGGAAGTGGCACGGCTCCAGCAAACTTGTTCAGCTGCAAGAAGTAGAATATGAACCGCAAATTATTTGCACACATTCACATGGTTGCAATGTTTTAAGTGCAACTATATTCCTAAGTCCTCATGCACACTGGACATTTTTACAGCGGCTGTTTTTGGCTTTTGACAGTTTTTTCTACAGCCAGTAAACTCCCCAGCATGTTATCCTATGTGTCCATGCACACATAGACTGTAATCAACGTTTTTTGGCCAGGGCGTTTTTTGTCTGGTAAAAAAACCCAGAACTAGTGGGTTTCTAGAGGAATTTTATAGCTGTAAAAACACTCTAACGCTGAAAAACGCTGTAAAACACAGTAAATCATGGCAAACCAGCATTTTTGGACTTTTTTTTACCAAACAAAATTAATTTTTTTGGTAAAATAAAAAACGGTAAAAAAATCCGCTAAACACTAATACAAAAACGCTAAAAACTATGAAAAACTCACATTTTTAACATGACTTTACACAGCTAACATTACCAGCATTATTAAAACGCCCCATGTGCATGGAGCCTAAATGTGTTTTCTAAGAATCCAGCACAGAAGTGATTTTTATTTTCTTTCAAAAAGAACTGATCAGTTACTGCTTTGACTCTTTTTTTTGTGCGTTTAATTTTCAACTTTAGCTACTGAGCTCTGTAAACAACGGGTTTTTTTTCCCCTTGTAAAGCAGATAAGGAAAGCCTTCAAATCATGAGAAAAAGAGCCAATAGCTTCATATGCTGGCTGCCTACAAAAATACATTTTCATATACAATATTTCCAGTTTTCTGAACTAACATAAAGGACAAAATAAATAAATATAGTATATTTATTTTAGCCATGACCAAAATAAAAACAGAAGGAAATATATACTAAATGACTCATATTTCCTGTTATTACCTTTCCATTATGTCTCCTTAGTGTTCCTCAACAATGAAGCAGCCTCGACTGTCCTTTCACGCTCAAGAAGAGCTAATGCATTATGGGAGGAGTTGAGGCCAGGAAACATGGAGAGGGAGTGTGTGGAAGAGTTGTGCAACTATGAGGAGCTCAGAGAGATCAAAGAGTCAGATGACGCCACGGTAAGATCAATCTGGACACATTTAGGATGCAAATAATTAGAGTCATTTTAATTGCTAACACTGCACAGACTGAATATGCTGTAATATGCACATTCTGGTATTGTTGTCTATACTGCCTACCTAGGTCAGAAGTGTCCCTGTAAATGATCCCTAATTTGAAGTGGACTAATTGCTGTCTATGTCCTTGTCAAGATTACCCCTCACTTCCTGTTCTACCTTAAACAGAGGGAAAGTGCAGGAAAATCTCCCAGTGGAGGACATGGACAGCTATAAAAACGTGGCAGAGGTTCTAGGCTTTCCCCAAATTTTATATATATCAATTCTACATATCTAAAACGCCCACAAATGGCCTGAAACTGGGCCTCTAAATCCAGCAAATTATCTTCCTCTAGAATGGTCTTCAGAGACACTCTATATGAGTTATTTTCCTAGTAATGTGCACAATGAAATGTATGGAGGAATGTCCATTTTTTGTCTTGTAATAACGTTTTTAAGGCTCATGATATCCACCAGTTCTAACAAAGCTCTGTTACAAGAAAGAAACTAATGTTGACTGAACCCTATTATCATCATCTGCTATTTGTATTACAACCCTAATTCTAAAAAAAGTTTGGACACTGTGTAAAATCTACATAATAACTGAATGCGGTGATTTGTAATTAACAGTTTTATTGAGTTTTCACATGTATATACATACATTAACTTTGAAAAAGAAAAAAGAGAAAGAAGCTCATCAATGGTAGAAATTTGTAAGGATATAGGACATACTATGTCATAAAATAACAGTGGAGGAGCAGTTAAATCTGTACAGTTTGGGCAGGTTGAGCAGAGATAAAGGCATCCCATGGGTTCCATACTGCCTTGAACACAGCAATCAAGCAAGCATGTAAAGCGGTCAAAAATTCCATTCGTCTTACGTCAGCAATAATTGTAAACAAAGTCGGCATCGAAGAAGGTATGGAGGATAACCAACACATAGGAATGCTTCTCCTGGCCGCAGTCAGAACATGCGCGGAGAGTATCCTGGACGGTTTGGAGAGGCCTGGAAAAGGCAGGCTCAATAAAAGAATACAGAGGCTCGAAAGGGAGGGAGGTATGCAATAGCAATTGTAGTAAAGACAAAACCTCTTCCCAAAAAGAAGTGATGGACCCACATTCTCAAAAAATATGATAGAGAGAGAATGCAGTGATTTCAAAATCTCATAAACCCATATTTTATTCACAATAGAAAAAAAGAAAACATATCAAATGTTTAAACTGAGAAAATGTACCATTTTAAGAAAAAAATAAGGTAATTTTGAAAATAATGGCAGCAAAACATGTCAAAAAAGTTGGGACGGGGTAAGAAAAAGCTGGCAAAATAAGTGGTACTAACAAAGAAGAGCTGGAAGAACATTTAGCAACTAATTAAGTAAACTGACAACAGGTCGGTAACATGATTGAGTATAAAAGAGCATCTTAGTGAGTCAGAGTATCTCATATGTAAAGATGGGCAGAGGTTCACCAGTCTGTGAAAAGCTGCATCTAAAAATTTTAAAACCATTTCATAATAATGTTCCTCAACATAAAATTGCAAAGACTTTAAATATATCATCATCTGTAGTACATAATATCATCAAAAGATTCTAAGAATCTGGAGAAATCTCTGTATGCAAGGGACAAGGGCAAAATGCAATACTGGATGCCCGTAATCTTCTGTCCCTCAGGTGGCGCTGTATTAAAAACAGGCATGATTCCGTGATGGACATCATTGTATGGGCTCAGGAATACTTCAAAAATCACTGTCTGTGAAAACAGTTCTTACTGTGCCATCCAAAAAATGCAAGGTAAAGCTCTATCATGCAATGAAGAAGCCATAGCTGAACATGATCCAGAAATGCCGCAATCATCTTTGGGCCAAAGCTCATTTAAAATGGTCTGTTGCAAAGTGGTCAGACAAATCAAAATTTGACTTTCTTTTTGACAACCATGGACGCCGTGTTCTCCAGACTAAAGAGGAGAGGAACCTGATTGTTATCAGCACATAAAACCCTGCATCTCTGATGGTTTTCGGATTCATTAGTGCTTATGGAATGGGCAGCTTGCACATCTGAAAAAAGCACCATCAATGCTGAAAGATACATCCAGGTTTTAGTAAATCATTTGCTCCCATGGGCAATACTAAACCGCATACTGCATCTATGACAACAGCATGGCTTTGTAGTAGAAGAGTCTGGGTGCTTAACTGGTCTTCTTCCAGTCCAGACCTTTTCACCAATTGCAAAAATGTTTGATGCATCTTGTGACAAAAAATATTACAAAGAAGACCCAGGACTGTTAAGCAGGTAGAGTCCTGTATCAGTCAAGAATGGGACAATATTCCTTTCATTCCAGTGTTGTTAAAAAAGAGGGGATACTACACCATGGTAAACATAGCCTTGTCTGTACTTTTCTGAAACATGCTGCTGCCATCATTTTTAAAATGACCTTATTATTTTCTTAAAATGGTACATTTCCTCATTTTAAAGAATAAGTTCACCTTTGGAGACATGTAGCATGTTCCACCCATTTCTGGTTGGCCGTAAATCCTGTATGGGCAAGCAGATATACTGACAGGTCTGCAGGAGACCTGCATGGAGACTGCATGGCACCAGCGATCTGCTGATCACAGGTACTGTCAGGGATCCGGGTGTGACCAGAAATGTGTGGACTGACACAGGGAAGTAGCAGGCTTCAGGAACACAGGTGTAGTCAGGGCTGGAGAGGTGGAATGGTCAGGTGGGCCGTAAGGTACCGTCAGGCACCGCCCGGCGGGATCTCTAGTGACCCACAGACCAGGGCGCGAAGTCTAAGCCCCAGTCTGCCTTTTCACCAGAGCCCCTGATGGTGGGGATGAACTTGGCGCAGGACTGAGACCAGGTCGCGGCTCCTGAGTGCACCCAACTGTGGTAGAGGGGTCCGCCGAGGGTATGTACCGGGGGAAAGCCTGATGTGAAGGGGCTGGCAGGTTTGGACATTAGTGGATGGATCGTCTGGGTAGCATCAGGCGTAGTCAGGCAGGCCAGGTCAGCAACGTGCGGGCAGTGAGGTACCGGAGGAGCAGGCAGAGAATAGTCAGGGTCAGCCGGGTTCAGTAACTCACGAGCAGCGCAGTACAGAAGATCAGGCAGAAGGATGGTCAGGCAAGCCAGGGGTTCAACAGGAGACGGTCAGCAGAGGTCAGGATCAAAACAGGGTCAGCAACTAGGCAGATAAGCAGGAACACAGGATACCAGATACAGGGGCTCATGGGAAACATACACCAAGGCACTGATCACAGGCCTGGTCATTCCTTAAATACACCTCCTGCAATCAGCCCCAGGTGTTGGCTGACTGCAGGAGTGAGCTTCTGGCTGCTGAGAGCACCCGCTGGTCAGCCCTGGTACCGCAGCCCACACGGCAGGTGAGTCCCACCACCAGTGCTGAGTCCATTCCTGACAGGTACAATGCTTTACAGGCTCCTGCAACAAAAAACAAATGCACATTTGTTTTACCTGCAAAAAAATGTGCATTTATTAATTTTTGTCAAGAGGTGAACTTATCTTTAAACATTTGATATGTTTTCTATCTTCTGAAAAAATATGGGTGATGGGTTGGTGACTCTAGTGGCCATTGGGCTTCTTTGCTGCAAGATGTTACCAGGTCGCGGCTCTCAGGATCGCTGCACCAGGGATAGCAGGAAGAGAGCGGCTACAAAGTAGAAGACAGAAGGACAGCAGTTAGATAGGCTGGTTTCCAGACAGATGTCCAGGCAAGCAGCAGGCAAGATTAGTTCATTAGTAGGCAGAGGTCGAGGCAAGCATCAGGAAAAGAATAGTCAGGAACGAGCAGATTAGGCAACAGGATCCGAAGACGCAGCCAGGGTCAGGCAATCTGGGTCAACATCAGAAAATGTAGAAATCAGGCAATCACTCAAACAAGGGAGATAGCAAGAAGTCCCAGCATAATGGAAGTGGTATTAATACCCTACTTAGTTTGTGTGCAAGCCAAAGGGTGAGGGATCCACACTAATGTGTGCATGTCCTTGACCATTCATGTGCATTCCTTCTTCCGAAAGTGATGGGAAGCAAGGGTAAATCTTCCAATTGGGACATCAATTCCAGTTACACTTATTGGGAATTCCCTTTAGTTTGTAGAGCTTTCCTCTCGCTTCCAGTTGTGCCTCCATGAAGTGACAGGAAATCTCCCCACAGGAACAATTGAAGAAAATGAAGCCGTCCTTGCTCTATTTAAAACTAAAATAGGGTGTTACACATCCTCTCTAACTTCGCACCCCAGAGAAACTGGTTGGAATAAGCAAAAAAGGTACTGAGATTACTCTAAGTGGGGTTGCCACCTGAGGGGGTTGTTCTGTTGAGGAGCCTCTCCTCTAACTTATTCCTTTCCCCTGTACCCTGATCCTTTCCCCACCCACCCCTTTTTTTTTCTTTTTTGACTCCCCGCTTTATCTGTTTCGAACCCCCCCCCTGTTGTTAATGGTGCCACCCTCCTTGTGCCATCGCTGAAACAAGCCATATGAGGAGGGTTCAGATCCTTTGATCCATGCTCTATAGCACAAGCAGTCTCAACAAATGAGAGAGACCCTGATTTTCTACGCATCCTTAACCACTACCCTACAGGGCACTTATACCCCCTTCCTGCCCAGGCCAATTTTCAGCTTTCAGCGCTGTCACACTTTGAATGACAATTGCGCAGTCATGCAACACTGTACCCATATGAAATTTGTATTATTTTTTTGAGACAGATAGAGCTTTCTTTTGGTGGTATTTAATCACCTCTGGGATTTTTATTTTTTCTTAAACAAACCAAAAACCACTGAAAATTTTGAAAAAAAAGTTTTTTCTTAGTTTTTGTTATACAATTTTGTAAATAAGTGATTTTTCTCCTTCACTGATGTGCGCTAATGAGGCTGCAGTGATGGGCACTGATAGGCTGCACTGATGGACACTAATAGGTGACACTGATGAGGAGGCACTGGTAGGTTGCACTAATGGGCATTGACAGGCATCACTGATGGGCACTGAAAGGCAGCACTGATACATGACACTGATATATGGCACTGATAGGTGGCACTGATAGGCAGCACTGACTGACACTGTTAGGCAGCACTGACTGGCACTGATAGGCAGCACTGATGCGACACTGACTGGCACTGATAGGTGGCACTGATTGGCAGCATTGATAGGTGGCACTGATTGGCATTGATAGGTGGCACTGACTGGCACTGATGGGTGACATTGAAAAGCAGCTCAGATGGGCACTGATATGTGGCATTGATGTGCACTGGTATGCACTGATATGTGGCACTGATGTGGCACTGATGGACACTGACAGGTGGCACTTCTGGGGCCACACTGATCATCAGGGCACACTGATCATCAGTGCCCTGATGATCAGTGTACATGTCCCCTCCGCGGAAAGCTGGTTACCGGCTCTCTTCTCGAGCTGTCAGCGTGACAGCTCGAGAGGAGAGAAATGCCGATAACCGGCATTTCCGTGTTTACATGTGATCAGCTGTGATTGGACACAGCTGATCACATGACCGAACCGACATCTTCCGTGATCCGCTGTGTCCGAGGGACACAACGCACCAGCGATCGCCGCGCTGCGCGCTCCCTGAGCTGCGCATGCGCACGGTGAGAATGGAAAGACGTCATATGACGTCCTATCAGAACGAGAGAACCACCTTGCGCCCGTCATTGTACTATAGAGAGGCAGGAGGTGGTTAAAGAAAAATAGCATCTTTTGTGCACGACTTTTAGCAACTTTAGTTTCCAGTCATAGATATGCCGGACGCCATGCTTTAGGCCTGTATTGGAAGAGAGCCCTAGTGATGGTTTCAGTCTCTTCTTGGATCCCTTTTGAATTGATATCCTTGTGTTGCATATGTTTGTAACTAGTAGATTTTAACTCAAGTCTTCTCATTTTAAGATTACTTCTCTAGGCCGCTAGTGCACAACTTACCACTCTAATAACTTACATCAGTTTTATGTCACCCATTCACTCTCTGCTCTCCTCGAAACCTAAATATGTATTGTTCTACAATATTTGGTACTTTGAGATGGAAATGTCACCATCATTTTTCACTGAATTATTCTCTTGTTGCTAATTTGGAACTTTATATATGGAAAAAGTGCTAATAAAAAGATTATGGAACTAAAAAGGTACTGAGGAGGAGTAAGGTATGAAGAGTCCTTCACTCCTTAACTTTGCTGCATCTATCCCCACTTGCTTCTCTAATTTCAGTTAGAAACTTGATAAGAAATAGGATGCTGTGGACCATCAATTATAAGCACCAAGTTCCTAAAGTTGTCCACTTACCAATGGAGGGAGAGTTCGTTGATTTGCAGGTTTCAGATCAATCCAAAGACATTCTGCTAGGTTAACTGGCTCCTGTCTAAAGTCACTCTAGTATGTGTACAGTTGTGTTCAAAATAATAGCAGTATGTTGAAAAAAAGTGAATAAAGCTCAAAATCCTTCTAATAGCTTTTATTTCCATACACACAAATGCATTGGGAACACGACACATTCTATTCCAAATCAAAACATGAAAAAAATATATCAAATTTGTGTTGTTCCTCTAAAAAAAATGAAGAAAAGTGAATTTAGACTGTTCAAAAAAATAGCAGTGTTTGTATTCTTCTTTACAGAAACTCAAACATTCACTATATAAACTGAAAAATGTTTGAAGATTTTGCTTTCCTTTGAATCACTTAATGAATATTTTGGTTGTATAAGCACTGTTTCTGAGAACTGCTGTACATCTGTGTTGCATGGAGTCACCCAACTTCTGGCCCTGTGATCAGGTATTCCAGCCCAGGATGATTGGACTACATTCCACAGTTCTTCTCTATTTCTTGGTTTTGCCTCAGAAACTACATATTTTTGATGTCACCCCAAAAGTTTTCTATTGGATTAAGATCCGGGGATTGGGCTGGCCACTCCATAACGTCAATCTTGTTGGTCTGGAACCAAGATGTTGCACGTTTACTGGTGTGTTTGGGGTCGTTGTCTTGTTGGAACACCCATTTCAAGGGCATTTCCTCTTCAGCATAAGGCAGCATGACCTCTTCAAGTATTCTGATGTATTCAAACTGATCCATGATCCCTGGTATGCGATAAATAGGCCCAACGCTGTAGTATGAGAAACATCCCCATATCATGATGCTTGCACCACCATGCTTCACTGTCTTCACAGTGTACTGTGGCTTGAATTCAGTGTTTGGGGGTCGCCTGACAAAACTGTCTCCGGCCACTAGACCCAAAAAGAACAATCTTACTTTCATCAGTCCACAAAATGTTGCGCCATTTCTCTTTAGGCCAGTCAATGTGCTCTTTGGCAAATTGTAACCTCTTCAGCACATGTCTTTTTTTCAACAGTGGGACTTTGCGGGGGCTTCTTGCAGATAGCTTGGCTTCACATAGGCGTCTTCTAATTGTAACAGTACTCACAGGGAACTTTACACCTTCTTTCATCTTCCTGGAGCTGATTGTTGGCTGAGTCCTTGCCATTTTGGCTATTCTTCTATCCATTCGAATGGTAGTTTTTTTGCTTTCTTCCACGTCTTTCAGGTTTTGGTTGCCATTTTAAAGCATTTGTGATCATTTTAGCTGAGCAGCCTGTCATTTTCTGCACTTCTTTATATGTTTTCCCCTCTCCAATCAACTTTCTAATCAAGGTACGCTGTTCTTCTGAACAATGTCTGGAATGACCCATTTTCCTCAGAATTTCAGAGAGAAATGCACTGTAACCAGCATGTACAACATTTGCTGCCTTCCTTCCTTAAATAAGGGCAAATATTGCCACCTGTTTTTCAAAGAATGACTGACCTCACTAATAGAACTCCACACTGCTATTATTTTGAACATGCGCCTTTCAATTAGTGATTCAATGACACAGAATCAGCAGCATGCATGTCATGACTGTTGGGTCTGTTGGATTTCTATTACTCTACTACACCTGCTAGTAAATTATTTGCCATGTAGAAATATCATTTCTACCAAAAACAGTGATTGATCAGGTTAGTGATGTGTGACTGCTATTATTTTGAACACAACTGTATATATGAATGTGAAGTTAGGGACCTTAGATTGTACACCCCTTGAGGGTTAGGGACTGATGTGAATGTACAATATATGTATGTATGTAAAGCGCTATAGAAGTACCTGAAATAAATAAATAATCGTCTTCCATAGGACAGCTCAGAGCTACGTGAAGTCTGGCCCTTAACAGAAATCGCTTCTGCGGAGGCAGCCTGGAGATTTAAAAAAAAGGGTCTTTTACCTAATCAGGTACTAAATCCGTTCTGGCACAGCACCTACAGGATCTGTCTCATCACACCTTACTTTAGAAAATGGCTTTAGTGCAACACAAGCCTTCATTTGTCCCATGGAGGATAAAGCAGTTCTCTAGTCAAAACTCTTTAAAGTGGTTCTAAAATCTTAAGGATTTTTACCTTAATGCACTCTCTGCATTAAGGTAAAAACTCTTCTGTTCTGCAGGTCCCCCCCAGCCCCCCATATCCTTTCCTGTGCTTGATCTCAATCCACCGCTGTGCATGAGAGCAGCAGCATTCTCTTGTCTCTCCCTCCTCACAGACAGATTGATAGAAGCAGGAGCCGTTGGCTGCTGTCAATCATATCCTCTGACAAGGGAGTGGTGAGTGGGGCTGAGCTCCGCTGTCTGTCTCTATGGATGCAGGCAGCAGGTCTTGGGAGCAGGCCTACAAGAGTGCCCCTATAGGAACTGGCTTCCAATGAGGGCACTCGCCGAAGAGGAGGAGCCAGGAGCACCCGTAGAGGAGGATAGGGGATGCTCTGTAGAAAACCATTTTGCAGAACAGGGCAAGTATGAAAGGTTTATTATTTACATAAATAAAACAATAGGTTTACAGTCATTTCAAGTTAAATAGAGTAGGAAATAATTAAAACTCCTGTCTATTTTTATTGCTGTATGAACAATTTTGTCCAGAATTCCGTTAAACTCTAGTTTTGGAGACACAACAAAAAGTTAGAAGAAATCTCTCTAAAGTAAGGAAAATCACTCTTTTGAGAACTGCCACTGGAACAGGTTTTTCCATTGGAAGATTTGCCCTGTAATCCTGTTTCAGAGACAACATTTTGGATTCTGCCTTGATGACAATAGTCACCAGGACAAATAGGGGTTTATTTACTAAAGCTGGAGAGTCCAAAATCAGACTCCCTTCTGCATAGAAACAATCAGCTTCTAACCTCAGCTTGTTCAATTTTGGCAATGAAACCTGGAAGCTGATTGGTTTCTATGCAGAAGTGAGTCATTTTGCCACTCTCCAGCTTTAGTAAATAAACCCCATAGAGTGGGTGAAGACTCCCATGCAACACTAAAAAAAAAAAAACCTGACAGAGGCTCTATCCATTCCCACTCTATCTAAACTGAATAAAGTTCATTTTGATGAGCTAAGGACTATACATCACTGTATACAAGTATATATAGTAAATTATAACTCCTTTCTGATTAACCACTTGCTGCCCGCCCACCCGCAATGTACTGTGGACGGGCAGCAGCTACAGGCATACAGTTGCAAGAAAAAGTATGTGAACCCCTTGGGATTACGTGGAGTTTTGCATGAATTGGGCATAAAATGTGCTCTGAACGTCATCTAAGTCACAACAATAGAAGAACACAGTCTGCTGAACATAATACTACACAAACATTAGATGTTGCCATGGTTTAATTGCACATAACATGTAAACATTCACAGTGCAGGAGGAAAAAGTAAGTGAACCTTTTGGACTTAATAACTGGTTGACCCTCCTTTGGCAGCAATAACCTCAACCAAACATTTCCTGTAGTTGCAGATCAGACCTGCACAACGATCTGGAGTCATTTTGGACCACTCCTCTTCACAAAACTGTTTCAGTGTACCAATATTCTTGGGATGTCTGGTGTGAATCGCTCTCTTAAGGTCATGCCACAGCATTTCAATCGGGTTGAGGTCAGGACTCTGACTGGGCCACTCCAGAAGGCGTATTCTGTGCTGTTGCACCAATTCTGTGATCAGATGCTTTAAGGGCAGAGGAGAGATCTAGAGTCTAATAGACCCCAGATTTATCAAAAAAGAATACCTGTCATTGCCTATTGCTGTCACAGGGGATATATGCATTCCCTGTGATAACAATAAAGGTGATAAAAAAATAAAAGAAAAGGAACAGTGTAAAAAAGAAAGATAATATAAAAAAAAAAATCAAAATTAAAAAAATAATCACCCCAGCCCCGCCCCCCTTTCCGTGCTCATGTGCAAAGGTGAACGCAAGCGTTGGTCCCGTGTTGGTATGTAAACAGAGATTACATCTTACATGTGAGGTATCACCGTGAACATCAGATCAAGGGGAGTAATTCTAGCACTAGACCTCCTGTGTAAATAAAAACTGGTGACCTGTAAAGGCTTTTAAATTGTCGCCTATTGATATTAACAATTTACGTAGTTTGTCGCTTTGTCATTTTGCAGGCGCATGTTCAATTTTAAAGCATGTCATGTTTGGTATACAGTCAGGTCCATAAATA